AGAGAGAGAGAGAGAGAGAGAGAGAGAGAGAGAGAGAGAGAGAGAGAGAGAGAGAGAGAGAGACAGAGACAGAGACAGACACAGACAGACAGACAGACAGACAGACAGACAGACTTGCATACAAACACACAGACAGACAGACAGACATGCATTCACACACACACACACAAACACACACACACACACAAAAAAAAAAACACACACACACACACACACACACAGCCAATCTGCTGGGATGATTGTTTAGTTTAATGGAAGACTTGACAGCACTTTCTCAGACTTTAAATTTAAATTTTGACTTTTCTCCCTGTGCTTGTATAGTTATTTCTAGATCTTATCTTCCTTCTTCTATATATTTGGGTCTACAGGAACATTAGCCACCTGGATAATAATAGTGTCACCGATGTATCAGAAACACACACAGCTAGTCCTCTACTTACAACAGTTCGTTTAGGGAATGTTTGAAGTTACAAGAGCACTGAAACTAGAGTCACTTAACAACCGTGTTATCCACTTAACAACTGCAGTGGTTCACTGAAGGAAAAAAAAAAGTCATAAACAAAAAGAAAATCGAGAAAAGTCGTAAAATGGGTCAAAACTCACTTAGCGAATTTTTTCAGTTAGCAACATACTTTTTGGGCTCAGTTATGGTCGTAAGTCGAGGACTACCAGAATAAAGACCATGAGTAGGAAGTAAAATATATCATCTATTGACAAAGGATCTTATGTTGAAGGAAAGTAAGAAGAAGTAGTTTGGTCCAGAAAGTCTTTGAAAGCAGAATAGAGATGGAATGGGACAACTCTCTGTGAGACAATTTCACAATTCAATGTAATTCTTTAAAATAAATTTAGAAATATTTATTTTTTTGTCATTCACATTTCATTTTGCCCCTCCCCTTTCATCTTCTCTTTAATGATTTTTTATTCTACCATTTCTTTGATATTGGTGTAGCTCTTCTCCTGTGGTGAGTTGTCCATGTTGATGTTGAGTTGACCATGGCAAATTGTCGTAGACCCAACTAGAGAACTCTTGCTATCTTTGGTAACATCCATGACATCAATTGCTATGCTATCACCTTTAAAGCCCTACATGGCTTAGGGCCTGGAATTCTACGGGACCATCTTCTGCCACATACCTCCCAGCGTCCGATAAGATCTCACAGGGTGGGCCTTCTCCGGGTGCCGTCAACTAGACAATGTCGTTTGGCGGCTCCTTGGGGGAGGGCCTTCTCTGTAGCTGCTCTGGCCCTATGGAACGATCTACCCCCAGAGATCCCGACCCTCCCCACTCTCNGGTTCTCTGGCTAGGTAGGTGTGGCTGGTTGGTCATGTGACTGGATGTGTGACATCACTCATCACACCCAGCCCCACCACCCACCAATCACCTCAAAGGCAGCCCATTCAGCCCATTAGAGCTAATTCCACCACTGGCTGGCCCTGCCCCACCCATTTTTTGACCTGTTTTTCAGCCATATTTTGGGCATTTTCAGGCTATTTTTGGACTGTTTTCAGGCCATTTTTCAGGCTGTTTTTCAGGTTGCAAAAAATGGCTAAAAAACAGCCTGGAAAACAGGCCAAAAAAATGAGAGGGGGCAGGGCCAGCCAGTGGTGGGATTTGCTGGTTCACTGAACTGTGAAGAATCTTACCTACTGGTTTGCCCGAACCAGTGTGAACCGGCAGCAGCCTACTTCTGCTCACAATGACAACATTAGAAATATTTTTCGACCTGAGTACAGCTTCACAGACCTGAATGAATTCAATACATTTTGTTTTCCATTGATTCAATTTGCTTTGTTTTAACCCTACAATTATTACTCCAGCTTACAAAAAGAGCTTCCTTTGTTCTTAGCTTTTATAAAAACCATTGTGTTCTTCTTGCTGACCTAAACTTTTGTTAGTAGAAATACAGAATTTGACATTATGGATTGCCAAACAATCAGAGTAAACTTTCTTCAAAATAACATCTTGATTTTAGAATATATTTCTTAGCAAAGCATTACAGCCCTGGGTAAGATTTGCTAGGGGATGAATAGCCTTTTCAGAATTGTATATGATATGCCTTGTATTTTTACAAAGTAGTAATGAGTTAGAGAGAGAGAATAGAATACAATAGAGTAGAGTAGAGTAGAATAGAAAAGGAATAGAATAGAATTTTTTATTGGCCAAGTGTGATTGGACACACAAGGAATTTGTCTTTGGTGCAGATGCTCTCAGTGTACATAAAGAAAAATAAAATAGAATAGAATAGAATAGAATAGAATAGAAT